AACAGGGTTCAATTTTAATGAGAAAATAAGAAAAAATAACAGAGTGCAATGAACTGACTCAAAAAGAAATATCAAATTAATAGTCGGCTGTCTTCAGCGTCCCATCTAGATTTATTTATTTTAATAATATTAAATTTTTCGATGAAAACATAAAAATAAAGATTGGAACCTTATTGGAACTTGCAAAAGTTGATCGAATCAACGAATATTATAATTAAATATTACTAGTGAACCTTTTGTAGCTGAGGTGTCACGGCTTAGTTTGATCTCGGATGCACAAAGTTGCCCACACAAATGCTCGAGTAGTGGAAGCGAGCGTCACGTTGGGTCGGGTTCGAGTCTCATCTCCTGAATGTGATCTCCTCTCTTGGTAAGTAGTCTGCTTCTTTGTTGTCGAGTTCTTACACACAGGTTAAGGTCAGGAAGGAGATTTCTTAACTCAACCCCTCCGAAAGTGAAGTTAGAATTGAGTAGAGTAAGAGAGAGTTCAATGTTCCAAGTCCCCTGCATTGGTCAGGGGGTTATCTTTTATACTTGCGAGAGGAGGGATCGGTCGTATATAGTCCTTTAATAGCTATCATCTCTTCAGGAGGATGGTTTGTACCGTATGGCTGAGCACCGATCGACACGTACGAGTCGACACCGTGTGATGTCGTTCCGAGTTTTGCATAACGGCTCCGTGGTGTTAGGCGCCGACTTGTACGGCGTCGGAGAAGACCGCTTTATCCTGCGGACGAGCGTCGACTAACTCGTACGGGTCAACGCCGCGTGGTGTCGTTCTAAGATTTGCGGAATGGGTCTGCGATGTTCGGCGTTGAACAATGTGGAGGTTATGTGGTCACCTCATTCGAGTCCGAGGTGTCACGCTGCGTCAACCTGGAGGTTCTTTTGTATGGTGCGTACCATATCAAATATTATATTAATTTATTGGACCGTTTGGTTGATGTGCTTATCGGAATCGATGTAACGTTGACGATTAGATAATGACATGAAAACTAACAGTCGTGCCGAGAAGTATATTTTCTGATGGAGGGTTACCGAGGCAGCGAGAGATCCATATCCATATCGACAACAACAACAATGGAGCTCATCAGTCAAAGACGGATGTGTCAAGAAAGGGTTCGAGAAGCAACCGATCGCAACACTTCACCATCTTTTTATCTCTGCGGCTCGACGTTACCGCATCAATGATTAGGCCTTCGGCCACTAAAACGCAGCCTTCTGTTTCCTCATGCTCATCATCTTTGTTGACTAAGTCCCATGGATGTGCTTTGGTGTCTTTGTTAGGGGAAACTGCGTATCGGAATACAAAGTCTGCAATGCATACAAAGTCTCATCGGAGTTGATCTAATATTAATCGATAATATTAATTTTAGATGAGGATGTCAATCCTTGATGCTATTTATTGAGATTCTAAAATAATAATACGATCCAATATTGGTTGACCTATCATCCCAGAGCTATTAAATGCAAGGCATTTTGTTGATGTGGGTTAGGAGCAGCTGCTTGATCCTGCTGTAGCTGTAGCTGTAGCTGTACCATTCATGTTTGTTCAGTAATAAAAAGAGAGTTTCTTTGATTTAAATTGCACTCTAATGTGAAGAACCACTTGTAAAGCAAACAATGACTGATAAGTGAGATGATGATCACTTATCCAAACAGTTCCAGGTTGGGAATAGATGGCATCGTCAAGCAACAGGCAGTATATGCCAAGAGCTAAAAGGGAGATCTGACATGCACTTTGTTTCAATTCAGCCACACAAAGTCTTCCTTTACTTTTTGCTTTACTCTAAAAAGAGAGAATGGTTTGCACAATGCAAGGTCTTTTGTTTCTGCTTTAGCCTTCCTCATGGATAAGATTGCGGCCATACAACAGCAGATTCCTGCAACACAGATCTCCCTGTAGTTTTTTTGTTTGTGAGTAGCACATGGTTGAGGCTCTCATGCCAAGTTCTTGATCCTGCATGCTCACTGTCAATTATTGGTAGCTCTTCTGAGTATATCTGAGTTAATTATTATTGTGCTTTAGAGCTTATAGGAAAATGGGATTGAGTTATACAGAGAGACGAAGAGTAGAAGAAGCTTAAATCTTTTATTTTATTTTATTTTTTAATTTTTTTTATAATTTTAAAAAATCTATGTGTTTCATTACGTAACATATGTGATTTATATAGTTTTAAAGATACATTACATTGATTATATTCAAAATGAATCATTCTCTTTTATGAATTTTTTTTTAAAATTAATAATTAATTTGACTTATCTTTTCATAAATATTTAATCTATTTTTTTTATGAAATTAATCTCTTTGTGACACTTGAACAAGTTTAATTTTAATAATTTTAATTACAAGAATATATAATATGGACAGCATGAGAAGTCACGAGGGAACTGTCTTGCAATGTGCTTCGTTTGCCATTGATACACACTGATTTGAAGGATGAGAAGGTCTCTATTGTTGGAACTATATATGACATGCTTTATACTTAGCTTGATTTACCAAACTTCATGTGATTAATGTTTATACTTAAAATCTTAATCTAATAGTGACTACCATATCCACTTACTATGAATTTGAAAGATTCAAAATCTATTCTTTTGTACAAATTATAATACTTTCACACGATTCGAAATCTCATCCGATAAATTTTTTCACCTAAAATATGAATCTAACGATAATCTCATCGAAGGTTAAAGATTTTATTAAGATGTTAAAATAGTTTGATTAATAAAAAATCTTTAAATTCTGTTTTTATCATTTATCCTTCAAAAAAAAATTATAATGAAATAAACAACACCCAACAGATGCCCAATGTATGGCTTTCTTTTTTGTTGTGCTATGCTTTCTACTGCCACCACCAGTAAGGGCATATGTTTGGAGAACCAACACACTGGATCACAACTGTGCTCCACTCAACAGATTAAATGGATTCATTCCCTTGTTTAATCTTGAAACAATCATGGTAGTTCACAAGATCAACTTAGTACTCTCAAATGTTGAGACTGGTTTGAGCTTCAATTATCTGTTTAGAGTCATAACTGGATACTACTATACTGGTGCAAGCAATGATGGACTAATGTTCCCAACTTGAATCATATTGGCTTGCTTTAGGAAGCTCAACATACAATCTTTAGGATGTGGTTTGAAAAGCCTGCTTGAGCTCTGGGCTTTACTCGAGCAAAACAAAAAGGTAGAAAAGGGGGACACAGTTCTTCTTCGCTTGGCCATTAAGCTTTGAGAGACCTAACTGGCTGACCATGTAAAACAAGAATAATTGTCTTTTCTTATTGCCTTTTTCTCTTCCTTACAAAGTTGGATTACTACAATCTTTAGGATCACAGTCTAAAAAGAAACTAAAGTTTGTTTGGGTTCTTCAAGCCAAGCAATTTAACTTCTTTCAAACTTGGATGCCAAGTTAAATGCTTGCCATTACAAGCTCATACTTTTTTTCACAGTTACTATAAACACCAATGAACTTATTTCATGCTTCTGTTGAATGCTGTAGATCAATAATTTTTTTTCTATTATAGAGATGGAATTCTATACTTAGACCTTAATATACGACTCGATCAATTAAGATAATTAACATCCTCAAAATGATGGATATGGAATTCGATACTTCTACAAAGTCTTCGTTAATTAAGATAATTAACATCCTCCAAATTCATCAAATAAGATTTCCAATCCTCCCATTTGGTACATCACCAACATACTAATATATTAAATTTTAAAAATAATGATGTTATGATTTTATCTCAATATCTTATCATCAATTAAATTAATTGATACCTTCAAAACTAGATTGTTTTTCTAAAAAATATTCATATTTTATATATTTTCTAAATAATATCCTCATTTTATTTTATTTTTTTTAACTGCATCCCTAATTCAAAAATATCAAAACTGCCCCTCTTCCATCCTCATCATCACTTTCATCATAGACAGTCCCTTCTCCCTTCTCCTCCTTTTTTTTATTTTTCTCATTCTCTATCTTTTCTCATCGTCTATCATTTCCTCCTCTTCTATCGCAATGACCCTTTCTTCTTCTCTCTTTCTCTCCTCTCCTCCCCTCATGGGCATTAGGTGGAAGACAATGAATAATGATGGATGACGAAAGTGGAGGAGAAGAAAATTTGATTTTTTTAATTAAGAGTATGATTTTAAAAAATAAAAATAAAAATCTTGTTTGAGAAATTCCTCCTCATCCCTCCTTCCCCGCACCGATGCCCTCCTCCTCCTCTTTTTTCTTTGTCTCCTCTCTTTCTTTTCCTTCTTCCCTCTTTGGATGACAGGTGACGAGCGATAAACAATAATGAATGATAACAAGTAAAGAAAAGTTAATTCGTGTCGTCTCCTCACTTCTCCTCCCTCGAGAAGACAAATGATGAAAATTGAGGAGGAATAATTTTGATATTTTTTTAATTATGAGTATGATTAAAAAAAATAAAAATCAAAATATTATAAAAAAATTTAGAGTGTTTTTTAAGAAAATCATCCTTTTCCAACTAATGCTTCTTTTGCCCACAGATTTCATGCAATTATTCACGTTGAACAACCAAAGAGAGAGAGAGAGGCCTACTGAAACAGTGGTGCAACTTTTCCTTCAACCATCCAAGGAGGTATGCCTGTAGGTGTACTATCACATCTATTGCTGGGCCCACAAGCCTCCCACGTGGCCTGGTAAGTACCGCAACCTCATTCCAGCCATCTCTCTCTCTCTCTCTCTCTCCCATCAAAGTCTAGAAATCAAACCTAAACACCATACGGCTTCTGAAAGCTTCAGTATTAGTATCAGTGCTTAGAGAACGAGTCGGTGGGACACAGCCGCCATTTCCGAGAGCTTCTCACTGGTGGAGGGCTTTCCAGTAATTGCTGCATCAATTATTGCAGAGAAGAGCAACCCACCACGATCACCTTCTTCTGCCTTTAAATACTCTTCCCTGCCTTCCCCTCTCTCCCTCGTGAATACCATTGAAGACAACCAAACTCTCTCCTCTCCTCTCCTCTCCGTTCTCTTCTCTTCTCAGACCAAACTTCTCAGAATCCCCTTTGAAGGAACGAGAACAGTGAAATGGAGCCTTCCTTGGCCAAGCGTCTGTGGCACATGATAACAGCTGCTTACTACATGCTACGTAAGGGCCTCACCAAGCACAGGCTCATGATGGATCTCCACCTCCTCCTCAAACGCGGCAAGCTCGCCGGAAAAGCCGTTGGGAACTTCGTCGCCTTTCACCACCACCACCGTGACCACCACATTGGCGCCGACATGTACTCGGCCTTCTCGTCTCGATACATGGACACCGACCTCTCCTACTACGACCCCAAGGAGGTGGAGTTCAGCTGCAGCAACACCCCTTCCTACCCCTCCTTCCTCCTCGCCGCCAAGCGGAGGAACCGCCACCGTCACGACCGCTACGACTTCGACTTCGCGGCGGACGACAAGGAGCTTGAAATGCTGAACTCGGAGATGTCCGACGCCGAGTCGTCGTTCGTGGCGTCGCCATCGCCAGCAGCGGTACGGAAGCCGAGGATAACCGACTCGCCGTTCCCGACAAGGGATGAAGACGCGGAGGCCGACGACCGGGTGGACCAGGAGGCGGAGGAGTTCATCAGGCGGTTCTACGAGCAGCTTCGTCTCCAGCAGAGCGTCCCGACGACGCCGGAGTGCCACTGCCACCGCCGTCGCAATCCAGCCTGATGCAGCTTTCACCATGGAGCTCGGTTACTGTGAATGATGAGATCATGTGTAAAGAGCAGCACACCAGTCTTCCTTGTTCAGAGCTTCTCCTTGTTCAGAATAAACAAATAAATAAATATTATTGATAATATATTCTGAATTTTCATAAATTATGTTATGAAATATTGATATCACAAATCAATTGTATCGGAGAAGTGAACAAAATCAAAATATCAAAAAGAAAGAGATGTAAATTTATTTGATGTGAAGTTGTGAAAGAGAAAGGGTTGGAAACTTTTGATGCTACCTCTTTCTCTCTACTTTGTACTCGAGCTATATGACTTTGAAGTCCGTGTTTGCGTTGGTGAGAAGGGACATCAATATTTTGTTGCCATGGACATGAATATTATAAGTTTTGTTTGATTCATACAGGTGAGTCATGTCTTTGATGGCCACACTACAATACAAAAGGACCACTAGGGAAGCAAATCACAGTGGTTCTTCCACCTGCTACTTTGCTTACAGGTGCTCATGAGACACATGGAGAAGAAGCATGCAATTAGCTTGCAGTGGCAGTAATAAACCATATCCCAGGCCGATGCATTGGCCACGTAGTCTTATGCCATGGCCACAAGACTTGTCTCGCTGCATTACTTTAGTCTTTCTTCCTCCATCAATTAGCTTTGGATGCCTTCCTCTTCTTCTTCTTCTTCTTCTTCTTCTTCTTCTTCTTCTTCTTTCGATGGAGTACTAACCCTACAACTTTAAAGCCTTTTAAGTTAAGTGGAGGACAGGACCTTTTTCTCTTTCCTTTGTAGAGTGGGTGAGGAGACTTCCATTGGTTGCATGCCCTACGAGAGTGATTGACCCAAATCATCTTACTAGCGCAAGGTTGATCTTTGTGAGAAGAAATGATTAACTAAATTTTATTGATATGATAATTACATGATTTTTTTTCAATCAATAATAAATATAAAATATTTACTAAACCGTTTTAGGAGATCACATTGAGTTCATGATCTTTATTATTGATAGAATCATGATAATATGTTATCATAAATTCTATGATTTATAATTATGATAAAACATTTTTTTGACATACATTAAGCTCATGATGATTTTATTATTAAAAATATATTTGAATTCACATGATATATATAACCATTATTTTATAGTAAATCAAGCTCATGCTTATCTGATTTAGTGAAAGACCACGATCCTCAAATGTGTTAGGAAACTGAAATATTAGATCATTTTATGTCCAAATTAAAATATTTTTTTTTATTTTAAATCACTCATGACTAATGATTTGTAATGAACTCTTAATAAATACCTCTCTGAGTGTTTATTAAGAACTTAAGTGACGTAAAACTAAATATACATTAAATTTTAATTTAAAATAAAATTATTTGGAAGCTAAAGTATCCCCTAAATTTAACTACCATCCCATATTATATTCTATTGAATTGGATTGAGACTCTTTAAGCTTCTATGTTTTATATTTTGGTGCATAGAGATGATATTCATTTAATTTCAAAGAATGACATCTAATCATATCCATTAAAAATGTCAATTTAGCTTGAACATAACTACTATATAGAAAAATAGAAGATTCTGAATACCTCAAATTAAAACACTCATAACTCTATGCACCAATCTTATATTAAAATAATATTAGAGGACTTAGAATAATAATAAATTTATATATAATATATTCAAAAATAAGAGATTAATTTAAAGCATAAGTTACTCAAAAGTAACTGAAAAAAATAGGTCTATAATCTATTAAACTAAAACTAATTTTCATCAGCATATCTGAAAACAGGTCATTATAGCAACTAATGCATAAACCAATGATTTTGGTGGGACATCAACTTTAAAACTCCATTGGCACATCACACCATGTCGCATGAGATTATGGTGTTGGCCATGGAAAACAAGGGCAGACAATGACCTGAACAAAGAGCTCTCTAATTGCATGGTGTGCAGGTGGTGGTAATGGTGGGCTGGTGTCGTATTATCGGGGAAATCATGTATGCATCTAACAAAGACTCAAAGTCTTTCCTTCTCTCAATATTTCCACATGAACAACATCAATATCGAGCTTAATTCTCTACTCTTAACAGAAAGGAAAGTTAGGACAGTGTGGAGGAGGAAGGGACTGATTTCTTGCTAAGATAAATGGGTTGGAGCTAATTAAAATCGAGGTGGATGCGATTATCATTGTCAATGTGACTCGCTTTCGAGTTTGTTAAATCTTATGAGAGCCAAGAATTATGTGAGAAAGTATATAGGAATATTTTTCATAAATATAGATAAAGGATATCGAACCATATTGATATTTGTTTCGTATTTCCACAAACAAATATAAGAACTTATATGTTTATAGAGAGAAGGAAATGAATGTTTAATTTGATTAACTAATTTTGTGAGGTACTATTTTACTTGGAAGGACTATTAGCCAAAATTATTGGCCTTTGTTTGATTATTCCCACTTCATTCAATGTACTCCTTTTTTTTAGATAATATAGTTTTTTAAAAAAATATATAAATATATACAAAAGAGAATATTTTTATGAGATAAAATTCTTTTCTCGATAAGATTTTGTCACGATCCGAATTTGGATAAGTTTAGCGTATCAATTTTACTTAACCTAAACTACTAATCAAAATACTTAATCTCACTCTAAGTTTAAATTCTAGCATAATATATATGAGGTGTAATTCAGTAATGTCTTCACGAGTCATTTGACTTCATTGATATATAGTTTTTTTCTAATCGAGTCCTTTCATGTCCAAATGGTATGTTGGCTCTTATACGAATATGCTTAAGCTAAAATATTTAATAATATACTCATCAAATTTTTATAAATTAATTTTTAATATATGACTAATCGAAATATTACATACTCACAGTACTCAACATAACCTACCGGTGACTTGATCTTTTAAGTTTGGATCAATCAGAAATCTGATCCCAAATCTGCACTCTCGCATGACATAACTGAGCTATATTTTGGCCATTTTTTATCATTTCGGATGGGTTATTACAATTCTCTCTGCCTTGCTCTTCTTCGTTACAATCACTGGGAAGTCGTATGCCCTTGATGGGAGGAATTCTCCTAATTATTTATCCTAAATTCTTTGCTCTTCACGATCCGTACATACATGGGATCACCATAGTTTGGCCATTGCATCGTAACAAATGGATCATAAACATAGTTTGGCCATTGCATCATAACAAATGGAGAACAGTAGCAAAGAGATCACCATAAAAAAAGACACACACATAGTTTGGCCATTGCATCGTAAACATCTTCACGATCCGTACATACATGGGAAGTCGTATGCCCTTGATGGGAGGAACTCTCCTAATTATTTATCCTAAATCCTCTGCTCTCACATATAAATAAACAAGATATCTAGGGACTGCACAAGAAGAGAGATTATATATCTCATGGAGGATTCAATTGAGGGATTACAATCTCTCTCTCAACTCTTCTCTCTAATCATCAATAGGTGGTCCTGTGAAAGGATAGGAAGAGAGGAGAAGGATCTAATTCTCTTTAAGGTTGATAGTGATCTTGGATCTAGAGACGGTGCCCTTATAAATCAAAACAGAGATATCTTTTTCAGATGGCATCAAAAGGTACATATCATAAAGCCAAATCTAATTATATTTGATTTCAATCTTGGTATAAAAGATCGTTTCCACAATTAATATAGCATATTACATATTTTTATACTAATAATTGATCTTAGAGCCTAGGTTCTTGAAATAAAATATATTAGATTTATTATTTTTATTTATAATGCATGAATGATCACAAAGTAGCAATGGTCGCCATCGACCTTGTTGCGTATAGCTAGCAAATCTATAGGCAGCAGAGGCTACGCTAGCTAGCATAGCAAGCGACAACTGTATGTGGGCAGCCCTGCACCCATGCGACGATCGCATGTGGGCAAAACTCGCATCCATGTGGTGGCCGCACGAAGGTAGATAGCCTCGGCAGGGGCTGCACCCATACAACAACCGCGCACGGGCATAGGCTGCACCCAAGCGATGGCGGTCGCGCATGGGTAGGCCACGCCCAAGTGGCGGCTGTGCGCATGCAACGACAACCGTGACAGCGTAGCCACTCGTGAGCACAGGCCACACATGGGCGACAGTCGTGCATCAGTAGGTTGGCCGCATCGGCGGACACATATCGTGGTGGCGACAGCCATGCACAAGCGCAGGCCACACCGACGATAGCCGCAAAGGCGACGGGGGTGTTGCATATCAGATTTTTAGCAAAAATTATAGTTTTGCCCTAGGGTTTCCCTTTGGTTAAATTATAACTTTGCCCTTCTGTATTTTATCAATATCCTTTAATTCTTTTGATAGTTCTGCTCTTTACAAATCTCATAATTATAATTTATATCCTGTCAAATATTTACTATTTTACTCTTATGAAATTGAGAATTTCTATTTTATATTCTCAATTATAAAATTAATAAATATGATTTATTATAATTATGATTGAATTTAATCATAATTATATTTTGATTATTTGATTGGATTTAATTTTAATTAAGAAAACTATAAATTATAGTTTACTTTTATAGTTTTCTCATGTGAATTATTGATTATATTTTTACATATGGTAAATAAAATCTAATTATTATTCTTGGATATTCATTTGGTTATTCACATGTATATATTTGAAATTGCATAATAATATTCATCTTTCGCATGATTTATATATTATCATGATTATTATATGAGTTTTTTTTTTGCTAATTAATGTTTAATAATTATTATGATTGTTATTCTATTATTGAACTACTTAGCATAAATTAAATTAAAAAAAATTGATGAATATTATTTGTAACTTGTTGTTGTCAAAGTCGCCTAGGATGATAAACTTTTATTATGTGAATTATAATAAATTTTTTATTATTTATAAGACATTTTAAACTATATTTTATACTATTATATTGGTCTTGTAGCCACTAAAGTGACTTAGACCAATAACTTATAAAATAACATTAAGGAATCAATCCTAAATGACATCAAGGAAATAATATTCATAATGACACATAATTAGGAGATTTAGATAATCTCAAAGGAGAATCTACTTCAAATAATTATGTGATGAAGTAGGATGATACTATTTT